AGAGCCTAGGAGGAAGGGGCATGGCCTGGTGGGGTGTGGCCAGGAGGAGGCTGAGCCTGGTGGGCGCGGCCTGGGGGGCCAGGCTAGGGCAGGGCAGGCAGTCCTGACAGACGCCCTCAGGGTGCAGGCTATGGGGTCCCCGCAGAGGACAACCTCATGAAGACGGGGCTGACTTGGACAGCTGTCAGGGTTGTGATGCCTGTCAGGCTGGGGCTGCCCCAGGATCCTGGCCCACCCGCTCCTCGAGGCGACCTGCCCAGGACGGGCACAACTCACCTGCCTCCCCCCTCCTCTTGCAGAAAGCCATCTCGTCACCCACTGTGTCACGGCTTACCGACACGACCAAGTTCACGGGCTCCCACAAGGAGCGCTTTGACCCCTCAGGCAAGGGCAAGGGAAAGGCTGGCCGTGTGGACCTGGTGGACGATTCGGGCTATGTGCCTGGCTACAAGCACGCGGGCACCTACGACCAGAAGGTGCAGGGCGGCAAGTAGCCCCCACGCGTGCCCGCCTGCCCGTGCAGGCGTCTGGGCCCGGACTCCTTCCCTCACACTTCATTACATTCCTGTGCGGCTCGGGCAGATCTCACGGCACCTGGGCCTCCCTCCTGCCCGCCTCCCGCCAGGTGCCCCGCGCCCCTCTCAGACCCTGGTTAGGCCCGACTCACCAACCCTTCCTAACACACCTGCCTCGCCCAGTAGGGAAGAGGATGGCCGGTCCATGGGGTCTCCACCTTGCACACACTGGCCACATGGTTTGCAGGCGAAAGGGGAGTTTTTAAGGAGCTTGCCATTGTGGGGACGCGGAGGACAGGGCCTATCGGAGGCTGCGCTGGCCCCCTGACCGGCAGACGCCTTGCAGGAGCCTCAGCGGGTAACAGACGCTAACGAACTAACCAACAGCACCAATAAAACGGTGTTCACTCCAAACGGGACTGTGGCAGTGTCTGTGGGGCCCTGTGCCCGTCCTGCACGCAGTGGACACCACAGGCCCCCATGCTCTTCTGGCTGAGGGCAGGACCGAGGCCACTTGGTGGCCATGTGGGCGCTGGCACCCCGCAGGTGTGGGGAGGCAGGTCACACAGGCACGTGCTTGTGCGCACACATGTACACAATGTGCACATGTGCACGCACATGCCTACAGGTCAGCTTTGTGCGACAGGCAGTCCCAGTGAAAGGAAGGCTGAGGGGGCAACGGGCAGCTTCCCGGTTGACCAGTGGAGTGACCTGGTGTGAGATGGGACATTGGCTTGGCAAACGCGCGTCTGATCTCAGAGCTGATTGGGAAGATTCAGAACACCCTGCCCAGTGTCGCCCGGCAGGAGTGGTGAGATGCCAAGACCCTGCTGCCTCACGCCTGTGACAGGCCCGGCCCCTGTTGCCTGGCCTGCCTCTACACTGCTCACGAGTCTCCACTGCACCCACAGTTTCTCCAGCCCCTCTGGATAGTCTCCCAACCTCCCCAGCGTGTGGAGAGCAGGACACCAAACACAGACCCAGGAATACCCTGGGCCCGTGGCATGTGTGGGACTCTGCCTCTCCAGGGCGTCCGCACAGGGCCTGCCCAGGCCTTGCCCAGGCCTTGCCCGCCATGCCGCACAAGTCTGCACCATCCCTGGGAGGCCCATTGGTGTGGCCACTTCTGCCACGATGGCCTGACTGTCCCTCGAGTGTGACCTGCTGGGCTGTGCGGCTCTGGAGAGGGTTCTGGGAAGAGCCCACAGAAGCCTCAGGGATGTGCTCCTCAGAGCCTGTGTGTCCTTGGCTACTGTCTGAATCTGTCCAGGTGGGTATGAGGCCCTCTGGCAGCACTGTGGCACAGACACACCACCTGCCCCCAAGTCCAGAGAGCACCCTGCTTGTGGCCACAGCCTGAAGGTTGCCCCCGGCTGACACAGTGCTATAGGGTTGGGGCCTCCCCAGGTCCCTCGACAGGGACCCCTCGCCGGAGGACGGAGTGGCCTCAGGAAGCACATGGTACCTGGCACTGAAGACCAAGGAATCATAGTTCTCAGCTTCACCACTGCCTCTGGAGCCACCTTGCCAGGCTGGGGAGAGGAGGAGCACCCAAGTCTGGCTCCGAGCCCCCCACCAGCCGGGCTGGACCATGTGTGACACCAAGGGGCAGAAGTCACATGTGGGAATGCTTGCAAACAGCCTCAACCAGCAAAGTGCTTGATCATCTGATCACGCCCTGAAGGTCCCTGTGCTCAAATGCCAACGGCTTACACTGCAGTCACTACGCAGCACTCGAGGCCCGGAGGTGCCCAGGCGCCCCACCCCCTCTCAGGCCTCTCCCATCACAGGCATCCCGGGTCCCAGTGCGGCTCCGCCCGGGCTGGCCATCTCTTGGTCTGAGGCTTTGCTTTCCTTTTCTTCTGCCCATGAGCAACCTGGTCCCCTGTGTGATGACCACGGCCAAGTCACACAGAGCAGATGTGGTTCCAGCAGGACCTCGGTGCTAGAGCCAAGGGCACCTGGTGAAGGCAGACGGATGGGCCAGGGGCTGTCCAAGGGGTTCCCACACCGCACAGCAGGAACGAATGCCGAGTCTGTGGGGACACAGGATGCGGAAGAGAGGGACCGGCACACCAGGACACTGCCACCTGTTCAGAGGGTCGTCCTTGGGCAAGAATGGCCTCCAAAGAAGACACAAACTACATCTGGGCTGTCTGCCCTAGGACACACCAGAAACGGGATCTAAGCAAAGAAACTCAAGTCCCATCCTCAGGGGCCTACCGCACCTCACAGGAAGGAGGCTCATGTCCTAGCGGGTCACCTTGCTCACATGGTCAGCATGCTTCTTGCCAGTGCCCTCCCGAGCACAGGGTAGAGCAGCCAGCAGCATGTCCTTGGTCCTGCCATCTCAGGCCTGGAGGTGAGCTCCTGGACACGGGATGCACTTCGCTGCTGAGGGGCGCATCGGGCACATTCCTGGTCACCCCAACATGTCCTGCCTGGGATGCCCGCGACGGCTGAGGCCCGAGAAGGGGTGGGGCACCTGGGATCCTCCGGGCCTCAAGTCCTGAGTAGTCTCTGGGTTTTGTGAGTGAACTCATGTGCACGTGGTCATGGCCATGGTGGCCCTGGGAGGCCCCATAGCCCAGAATCCCCATCCACATGCTCTCAGGGGTGGCACCTGGCACACAGCACCAGGAGTGGAGTTGATGGTCTTCACCATGTCCTCCCCCATGGGTCCCAAGGCTTCCTCGGAAACACGTGAGCCGAAACAGCATCCCTTAGGCCTTCCAAGTGTAGTTTTGAAAACACCTCCCTCCCCACCCTGTGCCACCCAGCAAGGGCGGGGGCAGTAAATTCAGTCATGGGGACGTGGTAGGTACCATTCTGTCCATGTGAATTGTCTGGTGAATTTGTCATAGCATCTCTGTGCAATCCTTGAACACAGGACATTTGCTTGGACCCCAAACCACTGCACAAAACAGACCATGCATTTTCCTCATCGGTTTCTGGATATTGTGAACACATAGACAGGTGTCGTTCTTTTGCATGTTCTTATGCAACAAAATTTGCTTCTACTAACCATGGTTAACTAGAAATTAAATGTCTATCTGTGAAAAAAAGAAACTGCACAACATGCAACCCAGGAGACTGGGACAGGATCTGTCAGGGGCAACTCGGGATGAGGACAGGTTCTGTCAGGTGGACACCAGGAGACGGGGACAGGTTCTGTCAGGTGGACACTGGTTGACGGGAACAGGTTCTGCCAGGGGACACCAGGAGACAGGGACAGGTTCTGGCTGGAAGATACCAGGTGATGGGGACAGGTTCAGTCAGGGGAACACCGGTTGACGGGGACAGGTTCTTTCAGGTGGACACTGGTTGATGGGGACAGGTTCTGCCAGGGGACACCAGGAGACAGGGACAGGTTCAGTCAGGGGGACACCGGTTGATGGGGACAGGTTCTGTCAGGTGGACACTGGTTGACGGGGACAGGTTCTGCCAGGGGACACCAGGAGACAGGGACAGGTTCTGGCTGGAAGACACCAGGAGATGGGGGCAGGTCCTGTCGGGGACACCAGGAGATGGGGCAGGTCTTGTCAGGTGGACACTGGTTGGCAGTGGCGGGTCCTGTCCAGCGGACGCTGGTTGATGGGGCGGGTCCTGTCAGGCGAACACCAGTTGGCAGGGATGGGTCCTGTCAGGGGGACATCGGTTGACGGGGGCAGGTCCCATCAGGGGGACACCAGGAGACGGGGGCAGGTCCTGTGTTGAAGACACCAGGTGATGGGGACAGATTCTGTCAGGTGGACACCAGGAGATGGGGACAGGTTTTGTGAGGGGACATGACGAGACAGGGACAGGTTCTTCAGAGGGACACCAGTTGATGGGGACAGTTTCTGTCAGGTAGACACTAGGAGATGGGAACAGGTTCTGTCAGGTAGACACCAGGAGATGGGGACAGTTTTTGTCAGGGGACACGATGAGACAGGGACAGGTTCTGTCCAGAGAATACCAGGAGACAGGGACAGTTCTGAAAGGGGACAGTGCCGATGGTGTCTGAGCATCAGGGAGGCAAAGGATAGAAGGAGAGTGTTTGGGAAACTGATCATACCTGAATGCTTATTTATTTCTATTTAATGCTATTGGACCTGCCGCTAGGTAGTGGTCATACAGTTAGCTCTGCCAAGTCCCAGATCAAATTATATGTTTAAAATATCAGAGCAAAATATATATATTTATACTGGAGTATTTTTTCACCTTTAATATCCTCAGTTTTTATTTTGGCGTAGATGAAACTAGTGCAGCTGCCTTGCATTGGCCAGAGGATTCCACATGCATTGTGTCCTGAGGTGTCCGCCTCCATAGCCTGTGGTGGCAGCCCCAGACAGGCCATGGGCAGTCGCATGCTACACCTTGCCCACCTGGGCTGACGCTGTGCCTGTGTTTGTGAGTGAGGTCCCCAGCATGAGCCCTGGGTGTTGGCAGGCCATGCATAGCTGCTCCTGCACTGCAGCCAGAGAGGGAGGGGTCGAGACAGAGATGCCTGGCCCTGGACGCCCATGTCCCTTAATGGGGACAGCGCACCGCACATCCCACTCATTCCCTCCTGAAGGCAATTGTGTTGAGCTGGCCACTCTCCATCCTGCCACACAGGCCACATGGGGACAGCCCAGGCTGAAGTTATCCATAGGCTAGAATGTCCTTCAGACACGAACCTGAGGGACTTCCTCCTGTCACTCCTGAGTACTTGGCGAACTGCATGGTTCAGGGGCATGGCCTTTGTGGCACATGATGGGAGTCGTGAGGGCCCCTTTGTGATGCTTTAGTTAACTCTCTCTCTCTCTAGACTGCTCAAAAAACTAACCCAAGCCAAACAACAAAAGGAACCTGCACAACTCAGAGAAACTTGAAAGGGATAATATGTATTACTAGTTTGTACTAAGCTTTTTTCAAGAAAGGGAAACAATTTATATATATATATGTGAATATATTTTTACACTGTTTTATTAACGTTAGGGATACCAAGCTTATCACTTTATCGGTGTGATGGGCAATGTCCACGTCTTGGGTGTTTCGACTCAGAAAGGCAACTGCTGACGTGTAAGCCACACTCACCAGGAACGTCTGTGGGCCCGGGCGCCCTGCCGCTCCTCCTGCAGTGTGAGGCACGGTGTCACCTGCTAGACCTGCCGTCGGGGGCCGGCTTACAAACCTAGTGAAGCAGCTCATAGGTCTGTGTGCATGTTGTTCCCAGTGTTGCTGTTGTTAACATTGTGTGTCAAATTGGTAAAGTGATGAATAAAGGTGTTAAAACGTGAACTTCTCTGGTTTCCTCCAGCCACGTGCTGTGTGTCCTAGCAGTCACATCCTCGGGCCAGCAGGGCCACAACACTCACATATAACACAGGACACGTCCTGTGAGGGGCCCCAGGGGGAAATGTAGAGTGCCTTCTCTGGGCCAACAGCCCCGAGTCACCTCAGGACTGCTGACCCACCCAGAGGAGGGGCAGGGGGCCTGCCATCAGGTGAGAGCCTGCTCAGCTCTGGACAACCTTGGGGGGCTGTGGGACTCAAGGGGCATGGACACAAGCTGCAACCCCTCAGGCCGCCATGCAGCAAACACCTACCTGAAATACAAGCAGGTGTGATACAGTCTTCCAAAATTAGGGTAAAATAAAGGCACTTTAGACAACAAAAGAATTTGCCACCAGTAGCCAATAGAGAAATTTTAAATGCAGAAAGTGATCACAGTGGAATGTCTGGGATGTGAGGAAAGAAACCGAAACAAAGAGAACAGGGAAATAATTCCAAATTGACACTACAGAAACTTTGTGAGATTAAAATGTTTCATTAGAATACTCCACATGTAAGCAGTCGGGACACACAGAGAGCTGAGTACCCACAGTTCCTGAGTAGTCGCAGAGGTGGGTAGGAGTGCTAGCCAAGCACATGTGTGTACAAGAAAAGAACAGCAGCAGAGTGCACAGGGCGAAAGTGCTGGATGACAGAACATGATCTACAGTGTTCTCAAGAGTGGAGAGACCGCAGAATAGAACAGCACAGAATGAGACAGTGGGTTAAGCTGGAACACATCAATTGCACTGGCTGATATGACAAGAGAAAGAAACAAGAGAATTGATGAAACTATACTTTAACCCAACTTTGTTAGGAATTTCAGCATGACTAGACACAGAAAGGTAAGAGCAGGTATTAAAATGAAAAGAACATGAAGACAAAGTTTGGCTTTTTGAAAGGACTGAAGGGAAAGTTCAAACAACCAATATTAAGAATGACAAAGAGCTGGGTCCCAGGGGGGCAGACATGAGGCGGCATTGGCACTGCCAGAAGTTTAGTGGCAAGAAACACCCAAGTGAGACAAGAGGCAGTAACAGGATGGCAGGGAGGCCTCAGCCAGCCCAACAGGATGCCCTGGTGATCGCCTATTAGTAGAACTTTCCGTGGGGGGAAGGCCAGGGCCTGGCACCCTGCCTGCTGCGACACTGGCTAGGGTGTCTGGATAAGTGTGTCCTCAGCTTGAAGGCTAAGACAGAGCCTGGTGGCATAAGTGCTGTGAAGGTCTCTTCACCTGTACTCCTTGCCCCTGGACAGCATGCTCAAAGGGATGCAACTGTCCCTAGGTCTCTGCCACAGGGACACAACATCAAAGCTGAAGCCACTCAAATGCCATTAAGGATTATGAGTTATGAGTGTTATGCCAAAAAAAAAAAAAAGAAAATTAAGACACTCTGAACCAATTTCTAGAGACATAATTTACACAAACTAGCACAAGAAGAAATGGAAAGCCTGCGTAGTCCTGTGGCTCAGGGTAAGCAACTTCCAACTACAATGGAAAACCCCCGAAATCTCAGGCGGAGCACATGAAACCTGCTGCTCACGCAGAAAGTCCAACTGTGGGGGTCAATGGAGGGTCTCTCCCAACAGAAGAGAAATGCCTTCTGATCTTGCGATGTGGTACCAAGGCAACTGAGGAAAGGGAAGCTATTCAAGTGGCCCAGTAGCCCTCCTCAGCCTGGCCCCGAAATGACAGACTGTTGCTCAAAGTGATCACATGGCCCCAACCTAACACACACAGCCTATGAGAAAAGGCCCTGACACCTCCCAAAACAATTGGTAAGTGGTATAGTTGGACTACAAAATCCTGATCAAAACATTAAGGAACCAAATACAATATGTGTGTAAAGGAAATCCATCAAGTTGTACTTATCTCAGAAATTCAGGGTTGTTTTTAACAATAGCAAATCATGGTAATCAACCACATTAATATATTAGCAGAGAAAAATCATATGGTCATCTCAATAGTTGCAGGAAAAGTGTTTGAAAAGTTCATCCATTTATGATAAAAAAACATTCTTGTAAATTAACAGTAGAAGGAGCTTCTTTAACTGATAAATGCCATCTACAAAAACCTATTGCAAATGAGTGGTGAAATGGTGAGAGTGGCCTTTTAAATATCAAGAACAAGACAAAGATGCCCAATTCTCCCACCACCTGTAGTCATCATGGCACTAGAGGTTCTAAATTGTACAGAAAAAACAAAACAAAAACAACAACAAAAGTAAAAATCCAGAGTCACAGGAAGGGGGAAGAAAACCCACTGCTCATGGAAAACGTGACTGTGTACTTAAAAATGCTAATACAGCTACCGGTGAATTATTAAAATCACAAGATTGCTGGGCACAAAATTAATATAGAAAAATGGATTGAATTCCCATAAAATGGCAACACATAATTAGAAAGATGAAATCCAAAGAAGTGTCTGAAAATAGCATTACAAAATAACAAGAACACCTAGGAATAAATATAACAAAACATGTGCAAGCACACCATGGGTAAAGTGTGACATTGTGCTAACATACATGAACGGAGACCAAACAGATGGAGAGAGATGCCACATCCATGGTGTGGAACCTCTATGTAGAGTGTGCACAGTAACACATCTATGTCCAACCAATCCACACATTCAGCGCAATCCCAAACAAAATCCCACCTTGACCAGCTAATTCTGAAGCGTATGAAATGCAGACGGTCAAAGATAGCCAAGACATCCTGCACGCAGATGGAAGGACTTGGCTGAGAGAGTGTGGCACCTGCACAGAGACGGCCAGGGAGACTCGGAAACAGACGCGTAAGTCATTATGACCAGGGAGGCTTTCCCGGGAAAGAGGCTGGGATAACCGGGCTCACAGAAACGATGACATTGGATTCTTGACCTTCACAATGTGCACAAAAATCAATTCTGAGTAGAATCCCATATCAGCAAACCTATAAAACCCTTGGGAAGATAGCACAGCAGAACATCCCCATAACCCCAAAAGGAAAAGGGTCACTAAAAACTGGGATCCCAAATGCTTTGGGACCATATTAAGGTTTAACAGTTACATTAAAGGATGCCATTATTTAAAAAAGTGAAAAGACAAGGAAAGGCTGTTTGCAAATATAACCCATGGAGTTGCTACCCAGAAGTACAAGTGACACCTGCGGCTAAGAGCCAGGCCATCCACCAGGGAAAGAATTGAACAGACACTCAGACAACCAAGAAATGGGCCAGCCAGAGAGGGGCAAACCGAAACACACAGAGGTCCATCCCACCTCTCCAGAAGGAAGACATTGCAGCTCTGACAGGGAGAGCTGGGGCCACGGGCCCACGGTCATGGTCAGACACGATGGCAGTGCGGCTTGTGGTGTGGCCACTCTGGTGCACAGTTGGGAATTATCTAGTGAAGCTGCTAAACACACAGTCAAGGAGTTAGAGGAAGCATGAACACAACAGGAAGCAAAAGCTGACTAAAAAACTCCAGTGCGACTCTGGAACTGAATAAATGTGCACTTTCTGACGTGAAGGATTCACTCTATACAGGCTTCCCATCAAAGTAGGCTTGTGGAGGAAAATCCAGCAATTCCAAGGGTACCATCCCAAGACAAGGACCACAGAGACAGGCGGAGCTGGAGGCCTGTGGGACAGAGTCTCGGTCCCACAGAGGGTGCTGGATCCCAGAGGGGAGCAGAGAGGAGAAGGGGTGGGAGAGGGCAGGCTGGACGAGAAACCTCAAGAGACAGTGGCCAAACTTTTCCAAATTTGACACAAAGGGTAGACTAACAGGTCCAAGGAGCTCAGCGAAACAGACAAGATGACGATCATGTTCCACAGTTCATGAGGGGTCAACACGAACATCTTTTTTTTCCCCTCCCCAGCCCCTCCCCCCAGACAATTCTGAACATCTTTTAAAGATCATGGAGGTACCCTACCCTCACCATGCAGAACACAAATTTGGCAGGACACATTTTCCTGCTAAGTTACAAAAACTGGTGTGGCCAGACATAACTACAACCAGAGCAAGGTGACAGAGAGGGACAGTCTGGAGCTCAGAGACTCCCCTTCTAAGGACAGGACAGCAGAGTCCTATCGGATTTCCTGGCAATGAAATCCTCACATGGGCACACACAAACTCACAGGCACACATGCACACACCCGGCCTGTTCACACTTTCTAAATCAATCAAAAACTGCTTTTAAAAATTACCTTGTTTTAGCAATCAAAGCAAGCATTACACAAGAGATGAGGTTCCCAAACTAACAACCTAGTTTTATGGCCTGTTATGAAATAATTTTCAGAAACACACTGCAAGCAAGAGAGAGAGCCAGAGCTTGGGTAAATATGCTTGCTGTGTGCTGTTAACATCATGAAACAGTGTCATAAAATGCTTCTCACATCTGAAAGTGTTCCTGTGTGAGGTCTTGGAGCCTGTGTACTCCTGCTCACCAGCTGTGGCGTGAGCTTGTCTTGCATTCCAGGAGAAACTCAGTTTTAATTGACAAAGAGCCACTTGAAAGCTAACTCTTCAGACAGCACATCATTGCATTAAGCAAGGAAAAAGCTCTTCAGGGCGTAAGTACAGACCGCTTGTTTCACAAAACATCAATGTCCTTCACCGCCACATGCAGCTCCCTTACAGCAGGCAGAACACCACTGCGCCTGCTTCATCTCAGGATATCTGAGAACACGTTGTGGTCCGGTTCAAAACGCGCCGAGAGCTGGTGTGACCTGTCACAGGAGGGGTCTAGGAAAGTGCACAAGGCTCTGAGTCCACTTCGAAGACCACGGAGAACCACACCCTGGAGAGACAGTGCTGGTCAGCAAGCAGCCAGTAGAGAAACATGAAGGTGGGCACCATGGAACATTCGCCTGAAGCCAGGAAACCACAGCCTGCGGTCAGGGGTTGCAGGGCTGGCGGGTAGCCAGGCTGGTGCCGCTGTGGGGAAACTGGGCCATTGTCCTCTTGAGCTCCTGGTAACTCCAGTGCATCTGCTCCATCTCAGCCTGGTGCCGGGCCCGCGCCTGGCTCAGCTGCCCCAGCAGGTGCTCATTGGTGCTCACCAGGGAGCTGGGGATGACAGGAAGCAGTGCTGTACCCCGAGGCCCTCTCGCGGCCCTCCCTAGGCCAGGCGGGCCACCTCCACCCAGGCACACCCCTGCCCCTCTCCACCAGGGCCAACACCATGCCCATGGCCTGCCCCTCCCACAGCCCACTGGCTACTGCCCATCTGCCCCTCCCTTCCAGACCCACTACCCAGCCCTGGCCACAGCACCACACTGCAGGCCTGCTCGGCACCCACGGAACAGGCAGATGAGCTCAACAGGCAAACGAATGGGTGATGGGCCCTCCATGCCCCAGCCACGCATGTTTTTCTGAGAAAAGGATGAAACCTTATGGCTAGTGAAACAACATTCGAGTCTAGAAAAGATAAGAGCTGGAAGTATCCCCAGTTCCCAGTCAGATAATAACTTGAACACCCGGACCCAGAGGGTGTGGCAACCTCAGTCCAAGGACAGCGAGAAGGGGATTGATGTGGTTTGAATGTTGGCCCCTCCAAGCCTCACGTTGAAACGACCCCTAGTGTTAGAGGAGGGGCCTGGTGGGAGGTGTGGGGTCAAGGAACGGATCCCTCATGAGTGGCTGAGAAGTTCTTGGGGTCACAAGTGCGTTCTCACTCCATGAGTTCACAGAGAGCTGGCTGAGCCTGGCGCCTCCTCCCCTCTGGGTCCCACTCTCGCCACGCATCACGCCTGCTCCCCTTCCCTCCCGCCACCAGAAGAAGCCTCTTGGGGCCTCCCCAGAAGAGAGGCCGGCGCCAGGCGAACCATGAACTGAA